TAACTACAGCTAGCTTGAAGGCCTGTGGTACATAGCTGATCATTAGAGATAGGTTGATCATATTTAAGATCGAAGAATTAATTACGACCAGAGTCGTACGTAGTGAGGAGGTAAAATTATTAACAAGATGATCGACCTCTGTTAGCGTTCAGATAGCTGCTCTGCTCTGTGTTGGTACAGGGCATTGAAGATGATAACAGTGGGTGGATTATATTCTTAAACTTAGTTACAGCGCTTTCAGAAAGACATCTACTGTGATAAAGTCTACTCTCCACTGCTCTAACCAATTTGTGGCTGGTCAAAACTAACAACTGACATGGGCCTTAACATCCACCAAGGCAGGAAGAAGTGCCTCAGCGAGCTGAGAAAGGGGCCTGGCATTGAGACATACTTTTTAAGAAGTAAGTCAAATCAGTTGATTGAAGTCCAGAGGCAGGAGAATCCCCACAGTCCTCAGGGCATCAGCACCCCGTTCGAAGTTCATTGTCGTACAGACCCTCCCATAGTTTTCAGATTGGAACTCCAGTAGCAGTTCCCAGTCTACAGTTTAGCAATCTACACTCAGTATTAGATTCTAGCCCAGCCGGCCATTTAATATCAGCCCCTAGCTTGGAGTTTAGCCACCAAATGCTAGCAACACACTTGTGTACAGATGTAAGCCAGCTAGTGAGCTTCTCTGACTCACTGACTCGTATCATACTCCTTTCACAAAGTTTTACAGCCTCCCCCAGAGCATTATCATTCCCAACGTGTAACATACGGACGATTTGTCACATTCGTTGGTATGTTTATATTATTCTAATACGGTAAAATATATTTGTCCTACAGCGGCCACCATAGCTAGGATTATGCACTTCAGTTGGGTAGAAGACAGAACTCTGGTGACATCTAGTGGTGAGGTTTAACACGCTGTATCTCAAGTATTGTAGAAGAAGAGTGTGGAGACAATAAAGATGCATTTAAGCTTAACTACTGAATTACAGTGATGAGATTTAATTATTATATAATAACTGATCCTGTGTGAGGAATAAAATGTAGTCTGGTTTAGAAGTGTGCAGTGCTGGGTTCCCTTTCATAGAATAATATTATCAAGATGTGTCAGTACCAAAGTGGTCAGCAGGAGGTGCTGTTGTGTCAGACTGAACAACAAAAAGCTAAAAACCCAAACTGCTGCGAGTGTTTCGCTGTTTCAGTCTCACAGGCTTACCGGCCGGGTGCCGGAGCTCTGAAACAAATGATTTTCACAGTAGCACACCTGAACTGCCCGCCAACATGACCTCACTCCCAAAAAACAGAGAGCCCTTCAAAATAAAGGCCCACATAGGAGAAGGTTAACTGTTGAGGATAAACGCTGTAATCTGACAGCCATTCTCAAACACTTACATCAGACAGATATTGTAAACTAGCAGATAAAAGCTGTACTGATGTGTTGTTTTCCTCTGTGACCTGTTTGTGAAATACTGCTTCAGATCTAAAACTTTAAAAGGTCGAAGCAGAAAACCAGAGCTGAAGGATCAGGCTGAGCTTCAGTGATGGTGTAACTGAAGGAAAGGCTGTTCCAGCACGGCCAGGGCTTAATCTGTCCACATACCAGCCTCCTCATATGGAAAGTGTGTGTGTGTGTGTGTGTGTGTGTGTGTGTGTGTGTGTGTGTGTGTGTGTGTGAGAGAGAGTGAGAGGCTGAAATCTGACGCCCCCTCAGGTCAGCCCCCCTCCACACTTTTCTGCAGATGGTGAGGAAGTACAAGCAGACTCAGAGAACAGGACAGTTTTGGTGAGGAAGACGTCTGGACTCTTTCTCGCGGGACACATTTGGAGTCTCTGAAGAGAAGAGCTCACGAACCGTCTGACCTCCGGCCGTCTCTGGGTGGGTGACCACCCGTCGAGTACTCGCAGCACCAACCGGACGACGGCAGAGGTAAAACATCCAGTGAGTCTTTGACAATCCATCTGAAGTATCAAGAGGACCACTTCATGCTAGTGGCTGCCTCTGTTTAGGAAACTGTGTGCATCACTTAGAGCAGAGTTTCCAAAGTGTGGGGCCCATCCCTTAGGGGGGGCGCAGAGCAATTGCAGGGGGGGGGGTATGAACAGAAAAAAGTAAAAGAACGCTTGGACGCTGCTAGCATAACGGTTTTGATGAGGCGCCCACACAAACACAAAGCAGGAGATGAAGCATCGCTGAATGTTTCCAAACCAACTTCATTCTGAGCCAAAGACTAGAAAATCTGGTGAAGCAAATCTGCCCTTTGGCTTCACCTGCACAGGTGCTGAGGTCGGTCTCCCTGCAGGATTGGTTTTCCCTGCATCAGGAGCAGCGCTGGGCTCTTCAAATCACAGACTAACAGGATCCTACAGCTGTTTATGTTTTTGAACCCATTTTGCACAGAGAGGCATTTTTTGAAAAATGTATTGATGCAATGTTGAAGATTATTACAGAGGAAAAAACAACATGTAAAATAATCACAGCGTGACGCCGCTGCCTTTGTAAGCGGAGGGACAGTAACTGCGTGTAAACCTGCAGACAGTCAGATTAACAGTATTTTGTCGCTATCTGCCATTCTGCTATTCATCTCATGTAAACAATAACGTGGCCAGAAAATCTCCGTTTACGGTGATTCGAAACGTTTACGTGGACGAAACAGCTGCGTGTTCAAAAATACTCGTGTAGGTGCGGACGCAGCGTAAAAGAGTTAGTAGTTTGTTTTATTACTACCTGTAATTTATTACAATTTACTTGCATTTGCTTAATTGTTTGCTAAATGTTTGAGGTGAAATAAACTGCAATGCAGCAAAATATGGGTGTGTGTGGTTGGAGGATGTGTTTGTGCGGGGGGGGGCATTTTTCCTGGGGCCTAGCAAAAGAAGTTTGGGAGCCACTGACTTAGAGAGTTCCTGAGTTTGACAGCCTGAACTCTTCCACCTGCGGCAGATACGCAGGAGCTTGTTTCCTGTCTCTTTCTCGTGGCGCAGCTCTGGGGTCTCTCCATCATCACCTCCGCACTCGTCAGCCTCGTTAAACTGAACCACAACTCAAACTGTGTTGAGGAATGGGCTCTGAGTCGGGTGTTTGTGTTGTGACCGTATGCATGGAGCTGCAGACAAACACAGCATTTCGATTGGCTTCTTTTCCCTAAAGTCCGCACAGCTGACTGAGAGGTGCACAGGTCTGTGTGAACTTCAGAGCCGAAGGGGAAACCTGCAGTCTGTGCTCGTGTGTTCACAGGTGTCCCAACCGCGATACTAAATGAATTATTAATAATTGCATTAAGTCTGATTCAGAGTCTCATCTGTCACCTTATAAGAATGAATCTCCTGTCAGTGTAGCAAAGGCATCGCGCCTCTATTTTGAAAGGCTGCCAAAACCAGTCCAAACAGTGTGAATAACAAGGCTGGACAGATGTTAACGATGGATGATTTTAAATGATCATCCCATGAATCAGCACAGCTGCCAAACACTTGTCACTTTGCACAAACAGGGTCGTTCACAACAGCCGCCTCACAGTCGGGGTCATGCAGCCATGTTGAATTTTGTTTCATCAGCAGGCTGATTAGAAGAGCAGATGTGCAGATGTTGGTACCTGTGAAATGAAATGTTCCGCTTCTCTCTTAGAAAAACTGCAGATTTAAGTTTCACATCTTAGACCCCGAGGTTACGTCCACCTTTTAACTACAGTCTGTGTGTGTGTGTCTGTGTGAGTCACTGGTGCTGCTTCACAACGTCACAGCTTTGTGTCTTTGCTGATGTGAAGTGAGTGTTTGTACTGCTTCTACCAGGAGGTGAAGCTCGGCGGAGCGCCCATGTCGCTGTCAGCTGACCTGAGCTGCCTGCAGGGCAGCAGAGGCGCCGAGCGCGAGGTGGCGCTGACCACGCTGGAGAAACAGCTGATCTGCCCCATCTGCCTGGAGATCTTCAACAAACCCGTCGTCATCCTGCCGTGCGAGCACAACCTGTGCAGGAAGTGTGCCAACGAGCTCTACCAGGTCTCTCTCTCTCTCTCTC